CGCGCAGCCGCACGCCCCGAAGAAACAAGCCCACAAGGTAGCAATCGGGTTGCTGGTCGACCCAGCAGGTCGTGCATCGTCAGCCCGTTGGTTGGAAAGCCCATGCGGGAACGGCGAGCAACGTCCCCAGCCTTCTGCGGACGATTCCAAAAAATCCCCGGCATTTCGAGAAAAAAACTTGAAAAACATTTCATAACATTAACACAACATATTCGAGGTGGTTTTAAATAACATATCCATATTTATTTATTTCTCCAAGTTATGTTTTTGTGTGCACTGAGGAGTCTCAAACAGGCGTTTGTTTAATCATTTTAAGATTGGCTTTAATCAATGTTTGAAAATGAATTCTTCATATGATAAATGAGAGGTAACGTTTTATTTATGGTATTATTTCCACATATTTCTCTCCATTCTTCCTTCTGCCAACGGTGTCGCAGTTTCTCGTCTCTCCCGTTTTTGTGCTTAGTGCATACGCATGGGTTAGAGTTTGCGTGGAGGACCGCACGTTTTCCCGTCAAGTTAGTATTTTATAAATCGCAAACATTGCGTAGAAACTGGCGTACGCCATTTTTTGAGCGTATATCCCTTTATAAATTAGGCCCCTGGGCTGGGTGCAGTGGCGGACCGGCCATCGGGACAAATCCCGATGGGCCGGTACCGAAGTGGGCCGGTCGGATAAATCACTTGCACATCCCCCACTCCCCCCGTTGACAATTTACTAGCGAAGTGGGCCGGTCGAGAGTCCCGGGCTGATTTTTAGTCCCAGTCCACCACTGGCTACATGACTGTATTATCGCCCATATTGACGCACCTAATTCCTAAACTTCTAACAGATACAACATAAACCGATCCTTCAGCCTCATATGAGCTCTCAGACACGTTCAAAATTAAACTGTCATCGCTGTCTGCTGTGTGCGCCATTGTGCGTTTACATGCAGATGCTGGGATCCTGAACGGTGCAGCTGGAGCGCTGTGCCCGCAATGACGTCACACATCATTTGGCGGGACTTGAAGAATCCCCGAGAAGATCCAGAAAATGGTCAACATTGAAGGGCAGATTAATGGTTATCAAAGTACAAATATCCCAAATCAGTTCAGTAACGGTTTTCAAGGGGACAATATTTACTCAAATTGATGGGTTTGGATGATGGGGGAAACTCGTGTCACAGGCTCTTTAAGTTCGTCGTTCGCAAACAGCTTCTCTTTAGCTATTGGCGGAAGGCGGCGACTCAAACAAACAAATCGTTTTGTGGGAGGAATCAGTTCATCTCGTTCACTTCAAAGATTCGTTCAAAAATAACGAATCGTTCGCGAACGACCCATCACTACCTGCATCTCTCTCTCGCTCACAGACATGCTGCAGCACCGTGCAGTGTGCACACAGTTCTGCCGGTAATGAATATTACATTTTGTGAGGAAACTTTTCCACCAATAATTCCAATAAGTATTCCAAAATGTATTCACTTCAGGTTTACGAAAGTAACTGTAATCAGATTACTCATTTTTCAAATGTAACGCCAGCTGAATACACTTGATTTTTGTATTCTGATTACGTAATGCCGTTACATGTATTCCGTTACAAGTATTCCGTTACAACCCAACCCTGTGTATATCTCTCCGGACTGTCCACCAGCAGATGAAAAACACCCACCTCTCCGCCTCTTCCAAGGGACGAGGGAACCGTGCGGCAGTGTTTCCGTTAACATTTATTTTCTTCTGACAGCCCAGCAGCAGGAGAGGTGGGGAGAGGGAGAGGGAGGCGAGGCTATTTCATCGTTATCAGAAAATGATCGTATAGATCGCTGCTAGATGAGGGCAGTGGGGGCTCTTCTTGGAGTCTGCCTTTTTTTTTTTAAAACCAAAGTTCATTAGTGAACTTTGAGCCATCATTTATTTTGCAGGCAGCTCTCTGCCTCTCTCACGTTATTATGGCGCGCGCCGGAACCAACAATCAGTTTTTACCGTAAATGAGTTCGGTTCAGAGGATAAAACACATACAACATTAATTAAACTCGATATTTGTTCACTTGAATTTCACTTTGAATGCTTGGATATTCTCAATGGGTGAATACATTTTTTTATAATAATAATTAAATAATTTTAAAAAAAAGAAGTTTTTAAAATGACACCGAAGCTTTCTCAGGGTGGGCCAATGAGTAAACTGGGTGGGCCTGGCCCTATGGCGGCTACGCCACTGCCGCACACTACTCCACACTCAACCTGGCTGCTGTACCCCCTGTCCTTAGCTGCACTGAAACAGAGCAGCGATGGCACAAGCCAAGAACCATGGTAAGTACAATATGTGTTTACAACCAATCCACCGTTTATTTCCTTTGTGCCAAGAGCTGATTTAGTATGTTGCATCAACAACCATTTCAATTAATTTGACAATTCTTTTGTGTAATTAATAGGGTGTGAAACCAGGCAGAGTGAGTGATATGGTGTTCTTTTCCACTAAGCCAAATCAGTTTACAGTTGCTGACGGTGTAAGGTAATATCTATTGTCCTAAGTAATTGTATGTAGCCTGCTACAACTTTGTGATTGTTGTCTGAGTGTAAAATTGCTCTTAAAGTCCTAATCATCATATAAACACGTTACAAGGCCGTGCGGGGGGAGCTGCCAGACCCAGATGTCCTCAAAGTCAGCGAGGTATACAAGGACTTCTCAGCAGATATCGCACCACTGATCACCACCATGGCTATAAGTGTGGACGTGCCACTGGTTAACTCCACCTTTGGAAAAGTTCACGAAGGTAGCCCTATCTCATACCAGCATCCACTATCAATCAATGTTTATTTATATTGCCCAATATCACAAATGTTACATTTGTCTCAGTGGACTTCACAGTGTGTACAGAATATCAGTATGACAATACGACACCCTCTGTCCTTAGACCCTCACATCGTACAAGGAAAAACTTCCGAAGAAAACCCACAGTTTAAAGGGGAACATGGGAGAAACCTCAGGGAGAGCAACAGAGGAGGGATCCCTCTCCCAGGACGGACAGACGTGCAATAGATGCCGTGTGTAAATTGAAAAGATAATACATTTGCAACATAGGTAGTCCAAATGTTTGGAAATGCATGTGTCTATAATAGGAAGATGAATCCACGAGGATATCCATCCAGGACCTATGATCCAGGACCACAGCCACGATTCAAGATCCAGGGCTCGCGATGCAGGACTCAGGACCGCAGGATCATCCATGACTCCGGATCCCGGCGTATATAGACACCAAAAAGAAAGAAATTTGGGGAAGCTGGGTTAATCGGAACATGAGAGTACACAGGTATAGACAGAGAGAAGGAAGAAGTAAGATGTCCCCCGACAAACTAAGCCTATATCAGCAAAACTAGGGGCTGAATCTAATCAGCCCTAACTATAAGCTTTATCAAACAGGAAGGTCTTATAGCGCACTCTTAAAAACCGATAGGGTGTCTGCCGCCCGAACACAAACTGGAAGCTGATTCCACAAATGTGGAGCTTGATAAGAAAAGGCTCTGGCTCCCATTGTACTTTTAGAGACTCTAGGAACAACCAACAACCCTGCATTCTTGGAACGCAATGCCCTAGTACAGTGCTTCTCAAAGTGTGGTCCGCGGACCACTGGTGGTCCGTGAGCGCCCCCTAGTGGTCCGTGAGTATATTGGTAAAATTTCACATTTGAAATTAATTAATTAATTCAAGTTTTCCGCACTCGCGGGAATATCTCCGCAATGGAGCGAGCTATATAAGCCAATATTGTATATTTTACTCCACTACATTATTTGACAGCTTTAGTTAGTTACGTTTTAAATCTAGATCATTATCTAATACCAATAAACCAACATATTGATATATTAATATATATATATATTTAAATTAGCTCTACACTTACAATTTGTTATAAACGCATAAATGCATCAATAATCACAATTTATAATTAAATATGATTCTGAAATGGGTCTTCAGGCATAATGGGTACTTTTACTTTTGGCACTTGAGTATATTTTTATGCCAATACTTTTGAACTTTTACTTCTTGTAACAGAGTAGATTTTACATTATATGTATTGCTACTTATACTTAAAGGTGGGGTAGGTCAATTTGGAGAAACCAGCTCGAGTGCGCTAGAATTTGAAAATACACAACCAGAAAAAATCTGCCACTTCCTTAAAGAGCCCCTCCTCCAACACACAGGCACGTGCACATGACCAATGAGGACACAAGATAAATGTGTGCATAGATGGAAGGCTCAGGCTGACAGGCAGGTAGGCCATCCAGTTATTTTAGCCGGGCCGGCTCAAATGATTGGTCGTGCTTTTTACAGCGCCACGGCTTCCACAGATGACATTTTTTATGGATTTGTTGTCAAAGCACTTAAGATATTCATTGCTATCGGGATGTTAAAGGTAGGGTAGGTAAGAATGGAGAAACCAGCTTATGGGCATAGATATGTCTCATAATTATTTGTGTGAACATAAAAATAATTTGTGTGTAAATATGTGATTTGTAAATGTAAAACAACATCCACAAATGCATTTAAAAGATTTGCAAACTCACAAATACATTTACAAGTGTAAAACGGATCTGCAAATACGTTAAATATGTTCACAAATAAAAAAAAGATCTGTGAATATCTCTTTAACATTTACACCTTTCGATCAGGCATTTGTGAATCCATTTTGTATTTGTGGACCAAAAATGCGCTTGCGGATCTCAAATCTCTGTTCACGGATCTCAAATCTCTGTTCACGGATCGTCTTTTTACACACACGGAATTTTGAGACATATTTTCCGCCGGTCTCGACTAAAATCTACTCGTGTCACTCGGTTATTTTCGGAAACCACGTGATGGCCTGCTGATGACGACATTTCCGCATGATTTCAAAGTAAGAGCATGATGGTTTGTTTAATGCTCTGTTTTTGTATTTTTTCATTATTCAATATTGACTTTTGATTGTAATGCTGAATCACTCAGAAACATATTTGATTGGCCAAAGACAGCATGAACACCTTGGAAAGATATCAGTTGTTTTTTATTTTTCAGCCTTTAGAGTCAACATCATATTTTGAGGACATTATGACCTTTATATGGAGTGAACAATCAGTTGGCGCACCTGAATGAAAAAACAAAACAACTTTAAGGCTAAAGGCATACATTCAACAACATCACTTAAAATACATTAAAAGTTAGGGAAAAGAAGGTGGATGAACACAAGATTATAGCAGGCTAAACACAAAGCTAAAGCTAAACCCAAAACTGGCAATGAATAAACCATAAGTAAGTATATGACAGTGTTAGATTGTTCCAAAATGAAAATGATCTATTTCACAGACTCAAATTAAGTACCATAGCATCTTCAGAATATATAGTGCCATACTTCAGAAGGACCGAATCACTCTTGAATATGAATTAAGACTCATTAAACAGTGTGGACACCGTCTGTAAAATAAAAAGTCAAAATGGCAAAAGACAATTAAAAAAAGAACATCTCTTGTAGATTAGGAAATTAAATGATGATTGTCATATCTTTCAGACATACATTGTGGTATAATTATCACTGGTAATGAAGGTACAGTAGATGAGTAGTAACATATATATTCACCCCTCAATGGTCACAGATACAAGAGCAACCTAACCTGAACCATATACAAATATAAAATACAAACATTAATGATAACACAGCAATTATCCATGTCACATTTTAAAAGACAGAAGAACATAACAAATGCATCAAAATGATGTGAGCTGCACTGTGTCCACAGGACTGTCTCAAGTATAACTTGAGACAAGGAAATGCCTTTTCAATGCTGAAGGACATTTAGTCACAACCTAAAAAAACAAATATTAAAATGATCCTATACTGAGGAAGATGTTTAACGACCTGCATCTTTACGGTGACCACAGGTATCCAGTTAGATAGTTCACAGATTATCATACAATCATGTACTCTGAATGTTACGCAAAAGGAAATTATTCAAGATTCAAACAGACCAGTTGTTGCTGATCTCATGTTTTGCCATTGTTACAATGTGCCACAATCTCTAACTAATTTAACTGTCAAAATATAATAACATTTAGATGTATCTAAGACAGGGACAAAATCAAATAAGACTTAGATAAGATTCCAGGGTAGCAGTTTAAACAAGGAATTTCAAAGCTACATTAACCTCCTCTCTTCTGAGGCTTAGGTACTAAATGTGTTCCTCCACCTTTAACCCAGAACTCAAGCTAAATAGACACAGTACCTACAATGTGCTACTCTTAGGTCTAATGCCTACAACTATTTTAAATATAAGTACTGGCTAACAATGAGCCGAGTCATTGAATAAAAGTATAATATAGAATATTTAATAAATTGATTGTACTGTGCAAATTTGAAAACCCTGAACCAAAACATAAGTCTACTCATAAATTAGCACTCTTATCTGAAAGGTGGGGGCGGGGGTCCTTCTTATTATTAATAGCTTAACAGTGTAAGACTAAATACATTTGAACAAAGAAAATAAATTATTGTAGTTGCCTGGTTTACATCTAAGATTATTTCCCTTGTAAAAAAACTACCAAAACATATCTTCAAAAAAATAGAATCTGTAGATGCCATCTTTCACTAAAAGGATAATCTCACAGACATCCTCCCTTTATATTACAGTGTTATTCATGTTGCATGACCACAGACTGTACAAGTAAAGCAAGGTGGGGTGGGTGTGGTTATCTATTCTGTAACAGTCCATCGATACAGTGCAGTGACTGCAAATATTCTCATAGTCACAGAGCTTGAAGTGTGTCAGTCACTGGAGTTCAAGTTCTGTGTGTCCCAGGTTCCTCAGAGACACAGCTGCTCTGGAGGGTCTATCAGACTTGGGCCTATCTCTTGTAGTGGCTGGGTGCGTCTGCAAACATGTACTTTAGTCTATAAGCTTCAGCCAGCAGGAGGCCGACTTCCTCGTTACCCCAATGGATTGTGGGAAGGTTCTGCAGTAGCATAAGAAGGCCCTGAGGAACAACATAAATCACACTTATAGACACTGGTTTGGAAGGCAGGGGTTAATACAAAATACATATAGCATTTCAAATACATTACATGACATGTCACTTGTTAGACGCTTTATCCAAAGCAACTTACATACTCAACACTGTGGACAATCCCCACAGGAGCACTTTGGGCTGAAGTGTCTCAGGGACACAACGACATGCTGACCCCCTGATCCCAACACCAAGGCTCTATCCACTGCGCCATACGCCTCCCTATACATTTCGGGGGTTACTATAAAATATTAACTGCTCAGTGGTCCTCAGGTATGGAATGAGACAAAACTATTAAAATGTTTTTATCTTGCACTTAAAGCACTTACAGTAAAGCAAATATGTCAGAGATTGAATATGCTGAATGGCTGTGGACTTCTACACATATGTACTTTCCTCTGAATTCCATATTTACCATAATTTTCCTCTATAATGTGTCTGTGTTTATTATCTTACCTGTTTTTAACAAATGTTTAGACTGATAAAATAAATACTTCAGCCCATTAAGTAGTCAGGGTTATGAATAGCTCTTAGAGTTTTTGGTTAGGGCGGGGTATGTATGTGGGTTGAAATGTATCTGTATAATACATTTCTGAACAAAATCTAGAGACCGGGGGAAAAATGACAAGAATAGTCATTTGGCACTGGTGGATCGTAACCAGGTTGTTGGTGGATCGTAACCAGGTTGTTGGTGGATCGTAACCAGGTTGTTGGTGGATCGTAACCAGGTTGTTGGTGGATCGTAACCAGGTTGTTGGTGGATCGTAACCAGGTTGTTGGTGGATCGTAACCAGGTTGTTGGTGGATCGTAACCAGGTTGTTGGTGGATCGTAACCAGGTTGTTGGTAGAGCTTCAAAATGCAAAAAGAAGAAACAGGAGCAAGAGACCAATAATAGAGAGTAGGCAAGTTATTATTATTGAACAGGCTGATCATCAGCTGATCAAAAGTTTAAGACCATATCCTCGAAGTGTCAAAATCTGCGCACAAATCATCACCTCCTGATGGCAAAGGCAGAAGGCTCTGTCTCTGAATGTGGCAGGTTGTTGAGCTGCACAAGCAATCTGCCGAGGCTGGATGCAGTAAGACGGTCATTTTACATTTCTTAAAAGATCCTGAGAGTTTTGGGACTCAAAAGTCAAGTGGTAGACTCTCTGCGAGAGAAGGGTTTAAAGAACAAAAACGTCTAAGAAAGTTGAACTCTCAGAAAACATTTAACCCGGATGGTCTTGATGGCTTCCAACGTTCCTGTCATGACAAGGAGCTCCCACTGGAGAGGTTTTCTACGGCACAGTGGAGGAGGCTCCATCATGATCTGGGGTGCTTCTTCCTTCAAGGCACAATGGAGCTTCAGGTTGTGCTTTATACAGTATGGCTCTGTGGAGATGTTGCAGCGGGCATCCCTCTTGACTGAGGGCCCTCGTCTGTGCGGTGATGACTGGGTCTTTCAACAGGACAACGCCTGACGAAGGACTTCTTCCAGGAGAATAACGTCGCTCATTTGGACCATCCAGCCTGTTCCCCTGGTCTAAATCCCATTCAGAATGTTTGGGGATGGATGGCAGGGGGAGTTTACAAAAATGGACGTCAGTTCCAGACCGTGGATGCCTTTTGTGAAGCCATCCTCACCTCATGGAGCAACGTTCCCACCAGCCTCCTGGAAACACTCAAGCATGCCTAAACACATCTTGATGTTATCAACAACAACGGGGGGGCTACTCACTACTGAGTTTATTTTTGACACTTCTGTTTGTTGGTTTTTTGGACTATAGTCTTTGATGGGGGGGATATTTTCCTAGGCCCACACCTTTGACACAGTTTATCAGTTTGTACTGTCCTCACTGAGCACCTGTAGCCTTGGCTGCTGTGCTCTCAGTGTTTTGTCACCCTGTTCCTGCCTGTTGGCGTCAGCTCATAGAGGTGTTTTAGTGCTCCTCCTGTTTTATCTTGTTATGCACAATGTTGATTATTCTCTCAGAACCAGCTAAATACTTGGGTCGGAGGTAGAGATCTTTAGAATTGGTCTGGCAACCTCTTTGACACCTCGTGACACAGCACATGTCTTGTGAATTCTCCGGCCGAAGCTCCAAATAAATCATCAGTGTTTGCCATCAAAGTTCCAGCTCTCCCCGTGTCTCTCTGAGTCCTGTCTCCTTTGCTTCAGAAGTTTCCATCACAGTCTTAAACTTTTGATCACAGCCTGTTTAAATGCAGTTTTCAATAGATTGCCTAGTCTCTATTTTTGGTCTCTTGCTCCTGTTTCTTAATAAACCTGTCTATACAGTACTGTAAGTCTTGCTACCATCTGCTGCTTCATCAATCAATATGTATTGATTACTTTCTGACCTAAGTGTAGAGGACTAAACTGATCTGTACCTGAAAGTCCACCATGGAGAGGATTTCTTTGCGCCACTCGATGAGGAAGGCAGAACAGACGTACAGGTGGAAGTGTGTGAACCCCTCTGTTTCAGCCTGTGGAAAAAGAGAAAAGACATGAACAGGGAGAACCAAGTCTGTCCAGCACTAGGAGATTACTTCTAGAAAGATGACTTCCTACTGTGAGGGTTTGCTCGTAGTATACACTCTACCTGGTAGGTGTCCCAGAGACGAATAGTGCAACGAAGCGGCAGCTCCCTCATCAGCAGATTGTTCATCCAACGGAAAGCAAACTGCAGATACTCCACCTCGTACCTCTTGAAATGATTGTGAATGTCCTCTGGAGACAGACACACACATATGGGTTTCTGGTTAATAGGTCTTATCTGGGATCAGCTGGTTAGTCTTATATCACGTTCTACATGTATGAGCTCATAGTAAATGCCCCAAAGAGGAATGAGCAACAGAGAGAAGACCATGTGACCTAAAGCCTAATGTGACACTCTCGGACTCACCATCTATCCTGCTGACCAGCTCCTCTAAAGCTTTCACTTTGTTCTGGATTCCAGGCTGAGCGAAGGTGTAGTTGTCCTGAAAGGAAAGCCCTTTCAGTCAACTGGATCATTTACAGTTTTGAACTAAATGTTTAGGAGGTGTATGTGTGTGAACAGACCTGTATTCCATCCAGCAGCTTGCTCATGCACCAGAAGCTGTCAGCTTCGATGTTTCTCTGGGTGTCCAGAGGCAGCGCAGCCACCTCAGAGTTCTCCACGTCTTCTGTTGGAACAACAAACAGCACTGAGTGAGAGGGAAAGGGCCTGCCTCACACATATGACTATTGGGCTAGGAGACTGATATACCTGCACTTTGTAAACAATGAGAACAATATTCAGGGACAGCCAAAGTCAAATTCAATTTTATTGTCAATTTCTCTGTGTGTGATACAAACAGAGATTAAAATGCCGTATATAAATAAAAATGAAGGCACAACAATCCATTTATAAAAATAACAGTCTACACACAAATTTGGACAGGACACGGGTCTAGTATAGTAAACTAGACTTCTAAACAAATGAATATATGACAACAGTACAATGATATATGGAGCGTGCAGCTTCTCTGCTGGGGGATTTTGAGGGGAGACAGGAGGATTGCGGTTCACTGTCCGCAGCTCTCCTATCTGACCCTGTCAATATGCCATCTCCTGTGTAATGTATTGTGTATGTAATGTCCTGTGTATGTCACAATCAGCTGTCTTAGGAAGTCATCCTTGCATCCCCCCCCCCGTTATGTTTTGTTTAGTTGTTACGTGTTGTTGTTTTTTCTGTTATCTGGAGCAATGTCTGTTTATTTTATAACTGAAAAAAAAAAAATATATATATATATAAAATTTAAAAAAACAGTACAATGATAATGATAAAGTAATATGACATAATAATAATAATAATGCATTACATTTTTTTTATTAGAGCGCTTTTACAGGTGCTCAAAGCGCTTTACAAATACACATTACACATATTAGACATGTAAGAGTCATTACTGCGGACATTACCCACAGGAGCAAATGCGGGTAAAGTGTCTTGCCCAAGGACACAACGGCCTGACGCAGTGGCGGCCGAGGCGGGATTCGAACTGGAGTTCACCAACGCCCCTTGATCTGATGACCAACGCTCTAACCACTGCGCCAAAACCGCACAGGTAGTGGAGCACTGCTGTAGTGCTAATAACAGCCCATAGCAGCAAACAACTACATTGTAACAGATATAAAACAGAGAGACTGTTTTGAGACTGCGAAAGCAGAAACAATGGCTGACTCAAGTCATTTCTGTCCAGTGTGAATATAACGGGGCTCTATGCAGCGACTTACTGACAAACTCGGAGAGGAAGACGACAAAGAAGGGAGTGACCAGATCATTGATCCCCTGGACGTAGCCGCTGGCCGGGTGGCGGATGGCCCAGATAAAGAGAATACGCTCAAACACCTGCAGACACAGACAGTACAGACTTTGACTTACTGTATTTTCTTATTACAGACAGTAAACATTTTTTTGTGCAAATAGAACAACAATATGGTTTTTAAGATTAGATTAGGAGACAAGGAAATGTAGTTAGCATCTAACCAGGAGTGCAAAAGAAGCAGTAAAGTGCTGAGTAACGTATGGTAATAATATAACATGTAAACTGTATAACAGATTATATATGGGTATACACATTATAAACAGTAGTAAATAAATATAATATAGTGTATTATATTTATTTACTACTGTTTATAGAGCTGGTATAAATATATACACTATAAATGGAATAAATATGAGTACACTAAAGAAGATAGAACCCTATAGACAGTTTTATAAATAGCATATTTATGTGTGTATGAATGTGTGTGTGTATGTGTGTGTTGGGGGGGGGGGGGGGAGGCAGCTGTTATCGTGGTGGATTCATGGAAGAACCTGAATCACATGCACAGTCCTCAGGATACAGACGCCTCATTTAACACAAATGACATGCTTATTAGTGCAAATGCTGTTTACAGCATTCCACTATCGTTCTTCGAATCTTTATTAGTGCGAATGCTATTTATAGCATTCCAATGGGAAACCTTCAACCTTTTAAAAATATTTGATACTTTTTGAAAAATTCAGCTTTTTAAACTCTTTTTTTTAACATGGAAGTCAATGGGAAGAGCCTTCAAATCCTCTTTTAACTAGACCTTACACCAAATGCTTCTCCTTCCACATACTTTTAGCTAGAGACTTTATTCCAACTTTAAAATGATCACAAGACCTTCAGCTATAAACTTGTTATTCAGATTTTTTATATCTTTTACACTTTTTGAGATATTTAACTTAGTTTGGAGCTTGGTAAAGAGGCTTTCTTCAGATTTTAACAGTAGTGTGTATTGAGCAGCTCGTTAAGTCTAGAGTGCTTTGATCTCAAAACAGAGTGGAGGAGTGCTTGAAATTCTCCCAATTTTTTTTTTTAAACCTGCCATAATTCCCAAACCCTACACTCCTCAGACATAATTTTTCATGAAAAACTTAGGAAAACCTCTCCTAGGTTGAAAAAAATTAAAAATCAAGAACAAATATTAAACAAAAATGCCTCTTGAGGGCATGAAGAGGCAAAAACTCTCCTTCAGATCAAATGGAAAGGCTCTCCTTTCACAGCACATCTCCATGGAAACCTTTGATCTCTGGGCTTACACACACACAGGTATTTGTAAACATTCATTCACTACTACTTACATTTCATATCTAACTCCTTCAGCCTACTTCCAGCTACAGAAACCATTCAACTATTAACTAATTCAGCCTTTTCAGGACATGTTGTTGTTTATACATTTTTTAAACCTTTTCTTTTAAATATTAAGCCTCTTCACTATTTTTCCTACTCTTTTAGTTTAACATTTCACTTTCAAGTTTTCAACAAAGTCATTGCAATGCATTTGAGCTGTAACAATTTGATTCAAATCATTTCACTTTTCTGCATTTCTCCGCTAAGTTCAGCCACAGACTTACTTGTTTTTTGTAGCTAAAAGCAGCTAGAGAGACCATTCAACTAATAAAATATTCAGCTTTTGCTGCATTTTCAGCTAAATTCAGCCACAAATGTTCACAGTTTACAGCATTCACACACATTTTCTGCAGGAAATGCATTTTCTAGTTACCACATATTTGCTGCTTTTGATTTGACTGATGCTGGCTTCCTATCACTGGCTGGATGGCTGGATCACTGGCTGGATATTAAAACTCAATATACTACTTGTTACAAAAGACCTCGCTCCAAGTTATTCCTACTGCCCTATGACCCTGAGATCCTCAGGTTCCACTTCCTTGTGCTTTCAAGGTTCAGATTCTGATGCTTAAGTTTGTTTTATTCTCTTGAAATGGTTTCCGTTCCTATTGTAAAGCACTTGACGTGAATTATGAATTAAGTTTATTTTGATTTGTATTATGACTACGTTTACAGATGTTTCAATGTATGTGACACTAAACTATTTCTTGTGATTTGATCCACATTACCTTTATGAGCAGTGTGTCTGTTACAGAAGTGCCTATTGTGGTTTCATGTTAATAGCATTGCAGCATTATAGTATTATTGCAGCTTATTTTATTTTTGATGATTAAAGGGTTAGGTCAGTAAATTAGTATTGCACCTCAAGATGTTGGGCCACTCCCAAGAAATATATTGAAATAAATACCTTTTTTATTGTATTTAGAAAGCTACCTTCAACCGTGTCATGTCATTAATATGAATATTTACTGTAGTTGCCAATAAATTAAATCTATTAAATGCAATAACCTTTGTTCGATGTCAACTGACGATTCTCTGAATGTGTAAAAAAAACTTCAATATGAATCAGAATATGTACATAATGTGATAATGTCATTACAACTAATTCACTGGAAGTTAATAATGTTGAGCATAATGAACTAGTGATGCCCCTGCTGTAGTTTTGCTGTGATTAAACCCGATCACAGGTTTATTGGTAAATGTGGAGACAAATCTTCAGTGTTATGCAAGACAAACAAAAATCTGAACATTTGAGGAACAAGCTGTTCTGAGTGAAGTTCCTCTTTATCAGCACAGATCCTCTGTCGTGCAGTAATCTGATGCAGGCTCCTCCTCTGTGGCTAACACATACTGCCACACTTTCAGCACAATATCATGGACGTCACTTATCTACAGGAGATAACATCTAAGTGTATCAAAAGGCACAGCGTCTCCAATCTCATCTACATGACGTAATGCCATGTCGAGATTTCCTGAAATAAATCATTACCTCATAAGGCCTAATCAACAACTGTTCTTAAAATGAAATGTATTCATAAAACCCATAAAGTAGTTTCATGAACATTGTGACATTAACCAATGTATTCTTATTCTGGATGTGTTCTTTGGTAAGAACAGAATCTAAGCATAATCAAGACATGTTTGTGCAAAATTACTAATATAATTTCAAAATTGTTCTATACAAAAACAATTATTATATTCTATATGAAATAGAATATTAAATATTCTATTTCATATTTCATTTAATATATTAAATATTCTATTTAATATTCCAGATATTAGACAGGATTTGTGAAATCATATTAAATAGAACTATTCCAGTTCTATTTAATATTATTTCACAAATCCTGTTCTTTTAAAATAAACAACCACTAACAATGCAACACTAAACGAGTAGTTAATAGCATAAATTGTATTTTTTTAAATATATTTTATACAGTATCTGCTACTGACGGTCACTTCCTGCAGAATTGTTTCCTCTCCCTCTTTAGATGTTCCTTTGGGCCTACTTGACTCACTTTTCACTCTGTAAATGTGAACATGGCCTTGCAGTCTCATGCCTTTTATGGAGTTGGCACTTTATTCTGCTGACTAACCCACCAATCTAGCTTCATGATACATGCTCCTGCCAGATGATCCAAAACAATGGTTATGAAGTTCTCCAGAGGCACTCTGGATGAACCTCTGATGTGTCCAACAGTCAGATCTTACCTCTTGTACTGCCGGCTGCTGGAACAGGGGAATCAGAGGGTTGGTTCTTGGAATATCGATGTGGATCTGACAGGAAGAAACATGATTGAGATGCTACTCAAGATAATAAAAGCAGACACTTGATGTTCATGTACACCGTCTTCATCTAAAGAGCAGTAGTAAGTGCAGTGTTACCTGTCTGTAAGTGTCTTTATAGTGTTCGTCTGTTCTGGAGTGGTAATACTGCTCTATGAAGCCAAAGTATTCCTCTCGCTTCCTCTTCATCACCAGCTCTCTGCGCTCTTTGTTGGCTGGCAGGTAGCCCTGTCAGAGAGAAGATAAAGAAGAAAAATGTTTTTTATTCAACTAATATATATTTAATGTATACAGACAAGTTACATCGAAACAAAGTAAGGTGAGGTGGGAAAGCAAAAAGCATAGCTTCTAAGCCCTTTGTGAGTTATCCAATGAGATCATTTTCTGTGAAAAATAAATTCAGAAATCAAGTCTCATGGTGTGAATTCATGTAGTAGATGAAATAATATCAAGAAAGACAAGAAATATAAAAGAAATGTCATACAAGTACACAAACAGATCACTATACTGCGGAGCCCTGGAAGGTTCATAGAGAGAAAAATAAATAAAGCATGGCCTCGTTTTGTGTGTGTGCGTCTGCTGTTCGTGGTAATTTGAAAACAAATGCCGGTGGTGACACACACACACACACACACACACACACACACACACACACACACACACACACACACACACACACACACACACACACACACACACACACACACACACACACACACACACACACCACACACACACACACACCACACACACACACACACACACACACACACACACACACACACACACACACACACACACACACACACACACACACACACACACACACACACACACACACACACACACACACACACACACACACCACACACACACACACACACACACACACACACACACACACACACACACACACACACACACACACACACACACACACACACACACACACACACACACACACACACACACACTAAAGCGAGGGGGAATACTCTGGTAGTTCGATGTGTGTATAGGTGTGTGTGGTTAAACGTAGCAGCCTTGATCAGCGGTTCTAATGAAGGGAAACGCAGTGAAGTAAACAATAAAAGGCACAGCTCTTTGCAGCTGGTGCTGCTCTTCTCAGATTCTGCTGAGTTACACGTTACTGCCTCCAGTGCCCTGTACGACGAAGCCAGTTCAACAGACCCTGGACATGTTCGATTTACCCGGCTTAACTGACCCTAACAAACGCGATGTCGATAAGCGGTCCTACGAAGCTGGTTATCAACTCAGTAAATCAACCGCATGCTTTAGTAACTCGTGCGCACGAGTTACTAAAGCGTGCGTACGAGAAAGTAAAACGTGGCCACGTTTTATTTATTTTTCTCTCTATGAACCCTCCACGGCTCCGTACTATACAATTCACTATAACACATATAATCATTTTTAAAGATCAAGCAAAAACCATGAAAGTCTTTTGCTATTAGAAATTCATATTTTCGGTTGATTGCTGAGAAATAATAGTTGAAAGATGTGGCTTCAGTCCATTTCATATTTTTACAGACTATAGATCATCTGTGCGACTGAATGCTTGTTCTAAGTGTTGGTTTGCCAGTAAAAGGGACATTTTCAGCTATTTAAGATAAAAGAAGGACAGGATTTAAGGCTGTTTGTGATGATAAGGATGCTGACACTATGTGAGTCCTTTCTAAAAAGGAATCGACTGGCACTGGCTACACAGAAATGTTTAATTTGTTTAAACAGGGGCTCTCATACAGGATCTGTTACCCAATGAGTTGTATCAAGCCAAGACAAAGCAGGGCATATGATGAAGCAGAGCTGAATGTCATGAGACTTACAGAGAGGAGTCTCCATGTGATCGGCCGGACTTCTCGGGGAATGCCCGACCAGCTGTGCTTCCGGAGTTCCTCTGTAACAGCAGAGTGCGGTGTGAACACATTTAAATACACAGCTGGCTGTATATCACAGTGTAGTGTGAAACTAATTATTACATATGCTCTACCTAGGTCAGTGTTGGGACTGGCCAGCAGCTGCTTGAATTTGTCCAGCCGGCTCTTCTCCCGCACCGTCATGGGTGGGGCCCCTGACGCGTTCTGGTCCGACATGCGAGCCACCAGTGGGATGATGGCACGGACTGGGAGAGACTGCTGCTTCTGCAGGCTGGAGCAGACTGCCGGGGGCCACACAACAATATTGATACATAATTATAAATGTCATATCTCCTTACTAAGTTAGCCCTCTAATGTGTGTATTTAGTTACTGTGCTCCATATATCTGGAATAATCTGCAGGTCCGTTGCAACTCTCACTTTTTTTAAATCAAAGCTGAAGACTTTCTTTTGCCTCTGCCTTTTAATAAATAAAACAACTATTCATATCTCACAATGCACTTTGACTTTGACACCTGCCTTTTTGAGCTTGTTTTTATTTGAATTCTCTTGTCTATTCAATATATCAAATGTACTGTATAATGTTTTTTTGTGATGCACTATGAATGAAGTCCCTGAGGGTACTTTGCCTGGGGACACGGGTCCCAAATGTCAAAAGCTCAGTGGGTGACTTGAGAGCAGTCTGAAAATTCAGAAGTCAGGTGACTGCTGACACATTCAGGTGACATTTTACAACAAGTCAGCTGGACTGATGTAGAGCCCTGCCTGAATATCTGAGGCTACACACCGACACGTGGGGGATCATGAATGTCATCCAGAACTAATGTTACATTTTTTCCATTTAGCGCTTTTAGCTCTGGCTTTAGTATGATAGTTTTCATCCTACATCAGGAGATATTGATGATGTTTTTTTAAGCATAATTCTGTTTCAAAAATTAAAAATAGTTTCGTACAGATGCATATAGTAAGTGTCACTGGAAACACATACGTTCACAAAGAGATGAGAACAATTGGACGAACACGCTTTAGGCCTGATAGAATCACAATACTTGCAGTATTAGCTCTGCCCGAAAAAAGCCTGTCACTAAATTGAATATGAATACATCTCAGTATGTCTCATTGCCAATGAATTTCTGCAGCATATTACCCACGTACCTGAGGACATGTTGAGGTGGGCGTCGCTGCTAGACTTGACAACCTTGCCGTTGACATGCTCCCAGTACTCTGCATCCTCCTCCTGCACATCCTGGAAGTCTAGTGCTTCTGTGCTGGGCGGTGCCAGTCTGTCAGACACCCCCGTTTCTGTGCCATCATCTTGAATCTGCTGCTGAAACACATCAGAAAATCTCCATTCATATGTCCAACTCAATGTCAGTGCTCACGGTAGAAAAGGACGTATTGTAGCTACCTGGTCCTGTGCGGATGTGGAGTGATGGCCTGATGGTGAGCTTAAAGTTGGAGCAGGGGTGCTGAGGAAATCTTCGTCCTCCTCTTCGTCGATGTCCCAAGCATCATTGGTGCTGCGAGCAAACTCGTGGAAGCTAGAGGCCTTTTTAGACTTAAGATTGTTGAACTTGGGCTTTGTGTCTTTGGGATATCTGCAGAGGTACAGACAGAGAGATCCATCAGACAGAAAAACAAAAACAATAAGGGAGGTTCACCAACTGACACGTAGGTGTACTGCTACATAGAAAGAATACAAAATCTGCAAAAGAAAAGGGCAATGGCACACAGGAAATCTCTTATATGGGTTGAATTAAGGACACACTGGTTCAGTGCAGGTTCAGTGCAGGTGCATGCAATCCACAAATGTTCAAGTTATTGAAGCATGGAAGAGCTTGCTGAAAAACAAAGTTAAAAATGGGAGACAGAAAATAAAAAAACACAAAAATAAAATGCATCCATGTGGGTAACGTGACGTCATACAGTCAGGTGGGGAGTTAGCCACAGACGGTGGGTTCAGCACTTACGTGCGACGCAATCGTGGGTCGAGAGGGGGGTGCTGTGCTCCATAAACTGGTTGTACACTGCAGAAGATGACATGTGAACTGCTGTCACATCTGTTCAGAAAACACATAGAGCTTCCAAGTCTTTCACCAAGCTAACGCTAATAGTCAGCATGTGTACTCATTTATTATTATTCAGAGGACACGTCCTGACCAGTCTATGCTCCTGACCAGTCTATGGTCCTGACCAGTCTATGCTCCTGACCAGTCTATGCTCCTGACCAGTCTATGCTCCTGACCAGTCTATGGTCCTGACCACTCTATGCTCCTGACCAGTCTATGGTCCTGACCAGTCTATGGTCCTGACCAGTCTATGGTCCTGACCAGTCTATGGTCCTGACCAGTCTATGCTCCTGACCAGTCTATGCTCCTGACCAGTCTATGCTCCTGACCAGTCTATGGTCCTGACCACTCTATGCTCCTGACCAGTCTATGGTCCTGACCAGTCTATGGTCCTGACCAGTCTATGGTCCTGACCAGTCTATGGTCCTGACCAGTCTATGCTCCTGACCAGTCTATGGTCCTGACCAGTCTATGCTCCTGACCAGTCTATGGTCCTGACCAGTCTATGGTCCTGACCAGTCTATGGTCCTGACCAGTCTATGCTCCTGACCAGTCTATGGTCCTGACCAGTCTATGCTCCTGACCAGTCTATGCTCCTGACCAGTCTATGGTCCTGACCAGTCTATGGTCCTGACCAGTCTATGCTCCTGACCAGTCTATGCTCCTGACCAGTCTATGCTCCTGACCAGTCTATGCTCCTGACCAGTCTATGGTCCTGACCAGTCTATGGTCCTGACCAGTCTATGCTCCTGACCAGTCTATGCTCCTGACCAGTCTATGCTCCTGACCAGTCTATGGTCCTGATCATTACATTATATTTAACTGACACTTTTATCCAAAGCGACTTACAATAAGTGCATGATCAGTCTATGGTCCTGACCTTGTATGTGAAGCTCTTAGTAAACATTCTTTCCCTTGTTGCAATGAGTTGCTAAATCAATTTAAAATCAGTTCAAGTATTACACAACGTAGGATAACAGAGGAGAGTTCCCCATAGCTGTGACACTTTTTGACTATGCACGTTGTCATACACACTGTGCCCAGAATTATTACCTGCAAAAAGTGTGCACGGTTTAAGTAATGCCAACATCTACAAAAAGCATGCTACACATGACAAAAAAAAGACAAGTCAGTATACTGTACTGCACGTTATTTACAACAATATAGAGATTATTCATGAGAAGAAAAAAAATCAGAATCAATAAGTAGTCGATGTTTGACATTCGGAGGACCCATACGCTCGAAGTAAAAAATGTAACATGTTTTTTTATATCAAATTTCTCATTCATTACTTTCTCAATACCAGGCTTAAGCAGCCTATGGCATAGCCTACCTCAATGGATTGATATGGAACTGCACTAATGGTCACTTCAGATGTGGTAAAATGTTTGCTCATGCACAAGCACAACAGGGCAGATAAGGTGTGACATAAGTGGCTCTGTATGAGATCACACCATGTGTATACTGCATGCTGTGAGTGGACGGCTACAAAAGACCTGCACTTATGACTGAAGGCACACTGAATGCAGCGGCCACATCAGTGGTTTCCTGCTGCGAGAGAGAACATATCTGAGAAGAAGTACGAGCGGTGGACCAGCTTCTAACAGTGAGCCATTTTGATAGATGCTTGAAAATGTGCTTTGATTCAAAATCATACATTATAATTGTCATTATTTTCAGTTATTATCGTCAGTTACAATGTCCCTAAAACAGAATTAAGAACTTAAAGGTGAGGTAGGTAATTTTGGAGAAACCAGCTCGAGTGCGCTAGAATTTGAAAATACACAGCCGGAAAATATCTGCCACTTCCTTACAGAGCCCCTCCTCCAACACACACGAACACGCACATGACGTCACGAGATAAGTTTGTGCACAGATGGAAGGCTGACAGGCAGGTAGGCCATCCAGTTATTTTAGCCGGGCCGGCTCAGATGATTGGTCGTGCTTTTTACAGTGCTACGACTTCCACAGATGAAATGTTTTTATTGATTTTTTGTCAAAGCACTTCAGATATTCATTGCTATCGGGATGTTAAGAGCATTCCATGGAATATAACAAAAAGTGTATCTCGAGCCGGTTTCTCAAATGTACCTACCCCACCTTTAAGAAAGAGCATACAACTACAGTGGGGCAAAAAAGTATTTAGTCAGCCACCAATTGTGCAAGTTCTCCCACTTAAAAAGATGAGAGGCCTGTAATTTTCATCCTAGGTACACTTCAACTATGAGAGACAGAATGGGGGGAAAGAATCCAGGAAATCACATTGTAGGATTTTTAATGAATTAATTGGTAAATTCCTCGGTAAAATAAGTATTTGGTCACCTACAAACAAACAAGATTTCTGGCTCTCACAGACCTGTAACTTCTTCTTTAAGAGCCTCCTCTGTCCTCCACTCGTTAACTGTATTAATGGCACCTGTTTGAACTCGTTATCAGTATAAAAGACACCTGTCCACAACCTCAAACAGTCACACTCCAAACTCCACTATGGCCAAGACCAAAGAGCTGTCAAAGGACACCAGAAACAAAATTGTAGACCTGCACCAGGCTGGGAAGACTGAATCTGCAATAGGTAAGCAGCTTGGTGTGAAGAAATCAACTGTGGGAGCAATTATTAGAAAATGGAAGACATACAAGACCACTGATAATCTCCCTCGATCTGGGGCTAAATCTCACCCCGTGGGGTCAAAATGATCACAAGAACGGTGAGCAAAAATCCCAGAACCACACGGGGGGACCTAGTCAATGACCTGCAGAGAGCTGGGACCAAAGTAACAAAGGCTACCATCAGTAACACACTACGCCGCCAGGGACTCAAATCCTGCAGTGCCAGACGTGTCCCCCTGCTTAAGCCAGTACATGTCCAGGCCCGTCTGAAGTTTGCTAGAGAGCATTTAGATGATCCAGAAGAGGATTGGGAGAATGTCATATGGTCAGATGAAACCAAAATAGAACTTTTTGGTAAAAACTCAACTAGACGTGTTTGGAGGAGAAAGAATGCTGAGTTGCATCCAAAGAACACCTACTGTGAAACATGGGGGTGGAAACATCATGCTTTGGAGCTGTTTTTCTGCAAAGGGACCAGGACGACTGATCCGTGTAAAGGAAAGAATGAATGGGGCCATGTATCGTGAGATTTTGAGTGACAACCTCCTTCCATCAGCAAGGGCATTGAAAATGAAACGTGGCTGGGTCTTTCAGCATGACAATGATCCCAAACACACCGCCCGGGCAATGAAGGAGTGGCTTCGTAAGAAGCATTTCAAGGTCCTGGAGTGGCCTAGCCAGTCTCCAGATCTCAACCCCATAGAACATCTTTGGAGGGAGTTGAAAGTCCGTGTTGCCCAGCGACAGCCCCAAAACATCACTGCTCTAGAGGAGATCTGCATGGAGGAATGGGCCAAAATACCAGCAACAGTGTGTGAAAACCTTGTGAAGACTTACATAAAACGTTTGACCTCTGTCATTGCCAACAAAGGGTATATAACAAAGTATTGAGATGAACTTTTGTTATTGACCAAATACTTATTTTCCACCATAATTTGCAAATAAATTCTTTAAAAATCAGACAATGTGATTTTCTGGATTTTTCTTCTTCTCATTCTGTCTCTCATATTTGAGGTATACCTAGGATGAAAATTACAGGCCTCTCTCATATTTTTAAGTGGGAGAACTTGCACAATTGGTGGCTGACTAAATACTTTTTCGCCCCACTGTATATCACGTTACTTGGCCCCCTCCTGTTCACCATTTACATGCTCCCCCTCGGCCAGATCATGCGCCATCATGGACTCAACTTCCACTGCTATGCTGATGATACCCAAATCTATCTCATCACTACTCCATCCTCCCAGCTCCCCCTTGTAAACTGCCTGCACAAAATAAAAACCTGGATGTCATCAAATTTCCTCAAGCTTAACAACAAGAAAACAGAGCTCATGGTTGTGGCACCCAAGGCACTGCTCCGGAAGGTTGGTGACTTCATCCTTGAGGTTGACGGCTGCTCCATCTCCTGAAGTCCGCAACCTGGGTGTCGCCTTTGACTTCACCCTTTCCTTCCACTCCCACGTCAAGTCCGTCACCAAATCTGCTTTTTTCCCACTTAAAGAACATTGCCAGACTCCGACCGTCACTCTCGGAGTCCGTTGCAGAAACCTTAGTACATGCATTTGTCACCTCCTGCTTGGACTACTGCAACGGTGTCCTGTTCGGGGTACCCAACAAAACCCCAGACAGGCTCCAGTATGTTCAAAACTGCACAGCACATCAATCCCATCCTATTCCTGGCTGCCGGTTAAATCCCGCATATCATATAAGATCCTCCTCCTCACCTACAAGTCCCTCCATGCCCATGCCCCCCACTACTTATACCAAAGGCCTTCGGCCCCTATTTATTCGTTGTTTTGTCTGTCTGACCGTTTTTTTACTCCTGTTTTTTCTGGGTCCCTTGAAAGGCGCTATATAAATGTACGTTATTATTATTACATAACTAAAGCATGTTAGTTTACACTATAGCAGCGGTTTTCAAAGTGTGAGGCGCGGCTCCCCTGGGGGGCGCCAGAGAGCTTCAGGGGAGGCGCAGCGTGAGAACAAAAATATTTTGGCTCGCAAAATTATCTTTTAAATTGACAAACATCATATGTGTAATTTGTGGCACAAGTCAAACGGGATCGAAAGATAATCTTTCTCTCTCCATTGACTTCAATACATAATTTTTCCGAAATAAGGTCCCATGGAGCTCCCCCGGAAGGGGAGGGACTTCGCCACTCTATTCCCTTCACCTCCACCTACCTGTGTGAGTGTGGGTTTTCCGCATTGACTCTGATCAAAAGCAAGTGCCGGCCAAGGCTGCAGCCAGAGGATGATCTGCGTTTATCTCTGTGTGCATCAAAGACGCAGACTCATTGTTCCCACTAAAGTAGGGGTGAGTGTAATAAGGAGGCAAAGTTGACGTTCAC